GCATTCAAGAACGCAGAGTGGAGAGGATAACAATCCATCCGGACTACGACTACACCAACATGCAGAATGACGTGGCCGTCTTGAAACTATCACGAGATGCCGATTACACCGATTACGTGCGCCCCGCTTGCCTCTGGAGCGACGCCGCTGATGATAATGTAATTGGAAAATTAGGTAATACAAAACTATATTTTAAAGGACTTCAAACAATAATAAAGAAATCTTGTAGGCACCGTCATCGGATGGGATAACGAGAAAGAACGACAAATCGAAGATACTCTGCAAGAAGCCCAAATGCAAGTCATCGATACGTTCACCTGTATCTCCGCCAAACCAAAATTCTACAGCAAAGTCACGTCGACGAACACGCTGTGCGCCGGATATAAGAACAGTAATCCGCAATGAAGAAAAAAAAAATAACGATTCAATGATTCTAATATTTAAAATTTTTAATGTCCAGGTACTTATGTTTGCAACAGCGATTCGGGCGGTGGAATGTACTTTTCGAAAACGACATCGAGAGGAGAGGTGTGGGAGCTGAGAGGGTTGATCTCCGTCACTTTAGCGATTCGGCACGAACGCTGCGATCCGTACAATTACGTGGTGTTTAGCGATTTGGCGCACCATAAGCAATGGTTGAACTCTGTACTGATTGATTAAATAAATTTGTTAAAATTTATAATCGAGTCAAATATCAAATATTTATATCATTTTATTTATCAAATTCCCTTCTTATTATTATTGTTTTCAATTATAAAATTGAAAATACAGTTAGAGACTAGTCCAACACATGAACTTTGTATAATTTTTATGTATCACCGTTATTGGTTATATTATATTAACTTTTAATATTTTATTCATTTATATGTATGTTTACGTACTTCTTAATGACTAAGTACAAACTTTCCTTAGGAAGATTCCAACTAATCAATGTATAACGACTATTGGTAATCACCACGTAATAACATGTAATATGTACACACGCCTAATAACTTAATGACTGAAAAGTACTATCTTCCCAAGTTAGTTTTAGCCTTAGAGGAGAGTAGATACATTCCTGTGCTATTATCCATATTGCTATAAAATTGAAATAAGAACGTTCGAAAAAGCAGTGTTTTCATATTTCATTGATTTACTCGAAAACTATAATAGATAGAATGAATTCAATATA